TCTCATTCGGGTTGGATCTCAATTGCGGTACGAGTGTTCCGGGATCGTAAAATAGCCCGGACGTCTGTGATCCTGAGATGCGGGGCGAAGCGGTCGCAAGCCAGCGGCAGGCGCTATTCCTTCGGCGCTTAAGCGTTTACGTATACGAGTCACCGACGGGCCGAGATTGTCTCGAAAAAAGTTTCACAGAACTCAGAGGTTCGAATGCGCTGGGAGAGACGTCTCTAGAGACGTTTCTAGAGAAAAATGATGTAAAGCCGTAGAAATGATTAAAAGGAGAGAAATTGATGCGAGACGGGGATCAGCACATCGGCGGAGACGATACCTTGCCGGTGCGCGCCGTCGGCTTCAAAAAATTACCTGGGTGTTCATGCACATGTACAGTGGAGTGGACCTGCGCAGGTTAAAGCCCAAATATCAATATATCAATTTTCAAGCATCAGGAAAAAACAACTTGGTTACGTAGCCCTTGGGAGCATCAGTACTTCGGGTAGACCTGTAGCCAAGTCCCCCTGTCTATAGCTACTGGTAGCACTCCAGCCAAAGTTCGGTAGCTGCTGGTAGCACAGGCACACGAGCTCAGTAGCGCTCCGGTAGACCTCGAGAGCACACAGTATCCGACAATAGCTGACCACCGGGGTCAAGAAAATGCTGAAATGCACAAAATAACGATAAAGTTAATATATTCATACAACACTATACAGGCGCACAAGTGTACAACAGTTCATTGTGACAGGACAAGACGAACCACATCACACTACACCAACGAGCACATGATAGGTGGAAAGCACATTGGGGTGGAAGGTCCAACGCGCGCAGGCAGATATGAAGGACTATCAAAATTCAGTTGGTAGAGGGCATGAACAGATGAGCTGGAAGATACATACCGGGACCGTTTTCGGTGGGATGAGTCCGGATGAAGAAGAGCCTACACACTATTAGCATCGATAGCAAACGACGACAAGCAACATACCGAAGGCGCGGGGAGCCGCGGGTGCATCCCGGATAGAGAGGGCTGTTTCTTGACGCTGTTGGCAACAGGCCTTATCGGTGAAGCCTTGGCTCAAAGGATGAAAAGGATGAAGGTTTGCGCATGAGAAAGGAAGGGGAGAGGCCTTGAGGGTCTTGTGGAACGCAAACCAGTAGACAAGTGACTAGGGGATAACAAGCGGCTTGAGGTACAGCAGTGACGAAGCGCTTGAAAACAGTAGAGCCAGCTGGGGCAAGAGCATTCGAGGAGGGATGATGATACATTTCGAGGGTGGCGCTAGGCCAGGGCGAGGCACGAGGATGGTCATGAAGCTATCGGAGGGGGACGAGATGGGGGGAAAAGAGAGAAAGACGACCAACCGTCGCATTGTTTGGTCGTAAACAAGCACGCAATTGTGCACGTGCCGGCGGAGTTTGAACTGACTTGTCCAAAAATTCGCTCAGCTGAGTCAGCTCGTTCTCGCAGACATCACATTCCGACGATGATAGAGAATCCAGAACTTCAAGAACATTCCGGGACAACATGTTGATGCTGTTTCTTGCCCTTTAGTTGGATTTGTGTGCTTGAACTGCCTTGTCTCCCGGCGCCGCGCTATCACGGGCTACTGATCCGGCGGTGATGCGCTACGTCAAGCTACTGATCTTCGTTGGAGAGCTACCTGGACTACCGGAGGCTACAAAGATCTCACCAAAGGCTACCAAAACTACCACCGCTACAAAGCACTGGCCTGGAGCTACCCAGCAAATTAATGTTTCCTGATGAGTTGCACTACTGTTGGTTCAGCTCGTACATTTTTTCCGTGACTCAGCTCGAAATCTGAGATGTTTACATTGACTTTTTGTGCGGTTTTTAGTGAGACTACCCAGCGGCCGGAGCCCCCCCCCCCCTGCCCCCCTCCCAAAGAAAAAGGATAAAGGCTATAACCAAGCTATAACTCAAATATCTGACTCTAACTCTATAGGCGCTGCCAGGGGCTCTGATATACCAATGGTAAACTGTGACCTCCAGGGCAACAGACAGAGGATGGGGGAGGGTTGGTGGAGGGGAAAGACACGTATTGCGGGTATCAGGGGTATTCGATAGCGTAAGTTTCTCGCATCATGCATCATCTCCCGAAGTTACTATCCGATGTCCATCTTTCTCTCGCATCAGCATCATATTTCTCTCTCTCTCTCTCTCTCCCAATGATCCCAACGGATTAGATGCTCTCACAGAACTTGACGGATGGCTCGAGCCCGAGTTGAACGGGCATCTCTTGCGCACATGAGATATATATGTCAGCCCACACTGTGGGCAACCGCGGACCGTCCGCCATCGAGCCGATATGACCTCGGGGCAGTGCGTTGCCATTGCAGCTGGCAGAGGAGGTGTTTTGTGTTGCAGTCCAACTTGTCCAAGTTCAAGTTGTTGGACAATGGAGATACCGGGAGATCCTTAGATACCAGGAGATCCTTGGGATTTTGAGAGTCTGCGGCTAGCGGGTGGGAAAATTGAAGAAACAGCTACAGGATCTTCCTTTGAGGAGCCGGCCAAAGTTAAGTACTAAGTACTAAGTCTTCGAGCTTGCGAGCCTCAGCCAACCGCAGTAGATCGACTGGAGCTGGGGTTTGCCGAGATCGCCGACCACGCGGATCATCCCGAATGACGCGGCAGCGCCACGTCATCAGCGGCCTTTCTTTCTTTCCTCTTGCCTCAACATGGCTTCGAGTGCGGCGGTCCCGCCCTAGAGCCACGTAACTCATGGCACCTCCCCGCTTGCTGGCACACAACGCAACCCCACCCCTCCGCTCGGCACTCGCCGTCGGCCCGTCCCGCCGTACCTCTGATACCGCCTCCGAGCCTCTGCGCTCTGCTGTCGACAATTCCGCGCCCGGTCAATTCAGAGCTTGAAGATAGATGTCGTGTGTGCATGTGAGCGCTTGAGCGCTTGAGCTGTCGCGCGGGTTGCACCCACCATCTCACCGCAGCGGAGCTCTGGTACGGGCGGCGTTGGTCGTGCTCCCCGGGCGCATCTGACGCCGACGGGCCCTCGCGCGCTTGCTCCTCACCGCCCCAGACTCGGCGCTCCCATTACACTCCCCCTCCGCTTCGTCTCCACTCTTCCTCCGTCTATCGAGTACGCCATGTGCACGCTGCTCCAGTCCACTGCCGCCGCGCGCTCATCTTTCGATCCCTCTCCTTGTCACCGGTTTCTAGACGCCACGCCCGCGCGCCGCTATCGAATCCCCTTCACCTGCGCTCTTCTCTGCTTCGCAAGCCCGCAAATTCTACACCAGTCTTCTCCCCGAATCTGACTTTGCGAACTCGGCCCCGTACTACGTCGGCGTCCCCGCTCCCGGTCTACGCATATCACCCCCGCAAAAGCGCGCATCTCATCCCTCCCTCGACCCTGGTGCATAACACATGCCGCGAATCACGCCGTCAGAAGCTGCGTCTGTGTCCGTTGCTAAACCTGGCTGTCCCTCCGTACAGAATCTATATCTGTGTTCTTTTGATGCCTCCTGGAGCACGCCTTGTTAACCTCGTCCGCATCCCCTCCCGGCCCTTCGTGCGCCACAGTCATACTCCCTGCGCGCCGCTGTTCAATACGTCTCAGCGCGCCGCGATCGATCTTCGGCCCCTCTGCTCTACTTGAAACGGCCTTCGACGGGGTTATAGCCGGGGCTTCGGCCGGTTTGCCTGAGGTCTTGAGAGCTTTATCGGCTTTCTAACCTCTCTGTGCCGCTCTAAGCTCCTCCGTCCGCTGCCTCACGCTCCCCGCTGCATTTCCGTCTGCGCCCAGCACTTTTCACACCACTCCCACCAATCCTAGATCCTAGATGTCGCTCTCGGTTCTGCTGCTTCTACCTCCTACGAACACACCTCGCTTTATCGCGCACGCAACTTGACTGTGGCTTTGTTCTCGCCTCAGGCTACCGTCTGTGCGTGCTTGGGCTTCGCGTTCAGACCACCTGCGCCATAGAGGCAAGTCCCGAACCTGGAAAACCTGCCGAATCGAACGGACAACTGCCGAAGAGCACGACAGTGACACTGCGGCCACCCCGCCGCGCCCGGCTCACCGATGCTCAGGACGCTTGAAGGGACGGACGCTGCCTCCTGATGTCGTTATCCTCATTAATCGGATGAGCGGAGGCTGTGGCACTGGTTCATCGCCACAAGGGCCTTTGCGTCCATAGACTGTGAATCAGGTAATGTGATGAAGCTTTGAAGCTATGAAGGCCCGGCGGCGATGGTCGCCACCCGCATTCAGTACAACAAGGGCGACTACCGCGGCGGAGCTCGTTCGATTCGAGCCTGGGTCATGGGGGAAGTAGCATGATGTTTTTTGTCGGGCCGAACAGATCTAGGGCACCAAGTAAGTATCTGAACTACATCATGACCGACGCGTAGCGACACTAGTGCGTATTGAATCAAATTCTTCGCATTTTCATGCTTTGCGGTGACTCGTATCCGCGCGGAATCGATCGTGCATCCATATTGGAAATCTCGTATTACATGAAGGCCCGGGGGCGGATGGTCGCCACCCGCACACGATGTAGGAGATTGAAACAACTTCTCGGGGGGCGCTCGTTCGATTCGAGCCCGGGCAATAGTGGCTCATATTGGTGTGCGTTCTTTTTGCGGCGAAGGGGGATCCACTGTCACGCAATTTTTTCATTAATGTAATAGAGATTTCCTCTCAGTGCAGTGGTTCGAGGATCGGGTGAAGTCGGAGGGCATCTCGATCCGGGGTCGTTTTATCCCAGCGCTGGATTTTAACAACAAGGAAGGGCTTGTGGGATAGCGATCAGGAGTCGTCCTGAATTGCAGGGGCAGCCTGAATTCTGGAAAGAGTCCATGACACCCTGCCCACCTTAGACACTGTTTTCTTTTTTACCCTTTAAGCTTTAAGTGGGACTCAGCCTTCTCCGTCGCGCCTTATCGGTCCTCGATAGTATGAGCGTGCGCGAGACACTCACGGGCCTTAGCAGACTCGATACTGTGACCAAAAAGGGCTTGTGGCAAGAAATGGCTCGAACCCGAGTCGAACGGGTGTCTCCTGTGCTACTAGCGCTGGTACTCATTGGTAGATTGGACAGGCGCGGACCGTCCGCCACCGAGCCGATAGACATTTTGAGCGGTGCGCCTCGTTGAAGCTGCTAGAGAAGGTCGGTTTTTCAATTGTTCAATCTTGAATTCACTCTTTTCATAGATCCATGAGCCGGCGGGCCCGGGACAGCCTAGGTAAAAAAGGTGCAGACACCACAGTACTTCAATGAAGTCTACCGAGGCCTCTGCGAAGCGTTAGATCATGGCCTGAACGCTGCGGCGCTTCAGGGGAATTACCAGAGATTACTAAAGTGCCGGGCCGAGATAGCCGGCGGCCGACGGATCACGCGGCAACAGGCGGCGACAGTGCCACGTCATCATACTTTCTTCTTTCCTCCACCACGGCTGCGAGTGCGGCGCTCCCCACTCCAACGCAGGCCGCCCCTTGCCGGGAAGCCCAGCGGCGCAGCCGCGGCCGACACACCGGAGATTGCCAAATTTCGGCTCGGCTTAGGTGCTAATCACATGTCGGAGTTTCAAATTGCAAGTAGGTCAAGCTGAAATGAGAGCCTTTTCATTGAGTATCAGTCGCGCTGATTTTGTAACTTAAACAAGTAGAATAAAAATGCTTTTTGGACAGACTGAAACACAGCTGATATCTTAAAAATCAGATTGCATGGAAGGTGGGCTGAATGGAGAACTGAGACTATAGGTATCGGTATTCGAAAAAGGGCAGCTCAAATGTAGCATCTCAGATGAGCCGAAAGCAATACTGGAACCTTGAGTTTCGGCTCACATTTCAGCTGCCCCGAAATGCGGGATTTTGGCTTTAGTTTAGGCACAAGCCGAAACGCAAGCCGAAACGAATAGTTTCGGGTGCGCCGAAATTTAGTCGGCGGATGATCCGCCGCCTGTCTGCTGCTCATCCGCCGCCTGTCCGTTGCTCATCTGCAGCCCATCCGCTGAGTGTCCGCTACCCGTCTGCCAGCATTGCCCAGGATCCTCTGCGTATTTCAAGTCTTATTCTGCAGAGGATGGGCTGCGGATGAGCAACGGACAGGCGGCGGATGAGCGGCGGATAGGTGGCGGATGAGCGGCAGATAGGTGGCGGCTCATCCGCCGACTAAATTTCGGCGTGCCCTAAACTATTTGTTTCGGCTTGCATTTCGGCTTGTGCCTAGACTAAAGCCGAAATCCCGCATTTCGGGGCAGCTGAAATCTGAGGCAAAACTTAAGGTTTCGGTATTGCTTTTAGCTCATCTGAGATGCTACATTTAAGCTGCCCTTTTTCGAATACCGATACCTATAGTCTCAGTTCTCCATTCAGCCCACCTTCCATGCAATCTGATTTTTAAGATATCAGCTGTGTTTCAGTCAGTCCGAAAAGCATTTTTATTCTACTTGTTCAAGTTACAAAATCAGCACGACTGATACTCAAGGAAAAGGTTCTCATTTCAGCTTGACCCGCTTGCAATTTGAAACTCCGATGTGTGTTTAGCACCTAAGCCGAGCCTAAATTTGGCAATCTCCGGTGTGCGACCCATTCGCTTCGTCTTGCACGTGTGCACGCCGCCCGTCCGCGTCATACCTTCTGCACCGCGTCGGCATGCCAGCGACTCTCTCTGTGCAGACTGTGCTCCACAACCCTCCCAGAAGACTTGTACTCAGGGGCTAGGGGCTATATCTGCACCGTCTGGTTAGATGTCAAGCGATCTGCGATCTGCGATCTGGTTCCGCCTCTTGGACGCACCCCCTAAGATCTAAGATCTAAGATCTAATCTCGCGTCGATCCTCTGCCTCCGACTCCCCCGCGCACGCCGTACTCGATCCAGATTCTTTCCAAGGTTGCACTCATTCTACGTCACGAGCGACGCGCGATCTTCGATGTCCTAGCGACCCTCTCGAATCCACGCTCGTATTGCTTTTTGGACCCGCCGCGGCGCTCTGCTACGGGCGCGCTGTCCGCATGCACACGCCGCCGCGCCCTCGTGCACAATTGATAATCGATAATCTTCTAACCCTGCGTACCCTCCGCTCGCTTTCGATTCGATCCAAACCCCGTTCCTGCACGCCGCGATCAATCCTGGCGCCCGCGCTCCGCCCATCTGACTCACACACTCGCAAATCTTGCGCCGTAGTCGACCCAACGCCCCTGCGGCCATGCCCACAATCCTTCGAACGATACTCGCTCTGACGCGCCCTCGGCTTCACTCTGTATATGCATCGTCTGCGCATCCCACCCCTCCAGCTCGTCGCTCCAGCAGGATGCAGTATATCTAACGCACGAACCTCACGTCGCCGCCACTGCCTCATTCTGTCGAGGGGTTGGCCTAACATCTGGATCCTGCCTCCGAGCCCTCCGCCGTCGCGCTGGTTTCCTCTCCGTACACCGCCCGGTGCTGTCCATCTAAACCTAAGTTCTATATCTAGACCCCGCCTCGCGCGCGCTACCCAAATCCTGTTCGCTTTCGGCTCCGGTCCGCGTTCTAGCTTTATCTTTGGCTTTCGCTCTGCCGTGACTCCGTAGGCTCGTTCCTTCGCTGCACCCGGCGTTTCCATCTCCCTGCGCCGACTCTAGCTCTTGATTCTGCGAACGCACCGCGCTTCAAGCTGATCGCGCGCTTAGCCCAGCTATGCTCACCGTTACCGCGCAGAACCGCGAACTGGAAACACTCGTGTGCCCGCGTTCACTCAGCGAGTAAGTTATCCTGAATCCTGGTGCAACAGGTGCCTTGCTCGCTCCTTGTCATCCTGGGTCCTGGCTCATGAGTCAAAATTGATGTTAGGCTTGCCGCGGGGCCACACGAGCAAAGAACCGCACTCAGGTGTGTTGTAAGGATTCCAAGGAGGCACTCGCTAGGCTCGCATTGACTTCTGGGGAACCCTAACTCTCCGGATGCATCCGTACCGCGCCAGAAATCCTTCATCCGCTCCGGAAAATCCTCGAAGACAAGACCCGGCGGCGGTAGGCGCCTACCACGCCCCATATAAGAAACAAAAGCGAATCGCGGGATGCTCGTTCGACTCGAGCCCGGGCCATAACATCATAATATGTAAGAAGGATGTTTTTGTCTTTGTCGTTTTGAAGGGACCATGGGTGATGCGTCCGTGAAGATAATTATCAACGAGTCAGTGAGTTTCGAGATTCGAATTTACTCAACATCTAAGTAAATTGCATAATCAGCTCGCGTCCGCACGTCTTTCGACGGGAGGTAGGGTATAGGATGAAGGCCCGGTGGCAGATGGGCGCCACCAGCATCCAGATAAGCACGCCAGGCAACCAAGTTGTCGTTGCAGGGAGCTCGTTCGAATCGAGCCCGGGCATATTACGATTATGAAAGAGGATTTTTGTATCCGTTTTGAACGGGCCTCGGAGGCTGATGAGCACTTGATATCTGATGGTTGCTACTTACTCGTCGCGATACAGGCGCAGAGCTTCGAGATCGCAGTCACAAATTTTCGGAAAGTGATCGGAATCTTGTAGAGAACGGAGGGGCCCGAGGTAGGCCACCTATGCAAGAACAGTGGTCGTAGACTCGGACTGGGAGTCAGGCATGCGATGGAGGCCCGGGGGCGGATGGTGGCCACCCGCATACGGTACTGGGAAGGAGACCTCATCATCGCGGGGACGCTCGTTCGAATCGAGCCCGGGCTGTATCATGAAGATACATGGCTTTTTCTCTGGTATCTCAAATATTACGGCCGATTTTCTCCTGCTGCCGCGTCGGAGTCATCAGCGTATGCCCTAGAGGATCTGATGGGCGATATCGGTCTGTTGGGCTACCAAGGCTCAAACGGTCGCCGTGGTTCTACGGGACTCCATGAAATACCATGGGCATACAGGACCTTCACAGCGCTCGGGTGGCTCTTTCGGTGTCTACGTGCTATCGATATGTTGCTAGGATGTTAAGTATCTGCAATGATCAACCATAAAAATGAGAACCGGGAACCCGGAAATCCACGAATTGCTCGAGTCCAAGTCTTTCCCAAGATGTGGCCGGGAAATACGAGCACAGCATCGAGAGGGGAGGCTACGCCGCAATTCCGCGGCCGATAAATTCCCTGAGCGCAACATTCTTCCGCTCCTGGAATTTAATCGAACAAGAATGCGCCGGAGTTTGCCGAGATCGGCACCGCGGATCACATCGGGACGAGCGGCACGCGCCGCCACGTCATCGCTCCTTGTTTCTTCTTTCTTCTTTCCACCGCGCCTGAGTCTGCCTGAGTCGGACGGGCCGACGTCAATCCACCTAACACACGGCGGCCTCCTCCCTGCAACGAGCATGCCGGCCTGCAAGGCAACTGCTCGGTCCCGCTGCGGTCGCGCACGGACAGTGTCGCCCACTCCGAACGCTGCGCTCTGCGTCGGATAGCACTCGTTGCTATGGTCACGCGTTTTCGAGCAAGCGCTAATGGCTGTATCCCGCTACATCTTGCGCGAGATCTGCGCCCGCCTCTTGTGGCGCTCTTTCGGGCGCGTTCTAATGGGAGCGTGTCTGGTCTGTTCAAGCCGCGCGGCGCATAGCTTCTACGCGCAACTGCGGGAGCCCGTAGCGCCGCGCCACATTCGACCTCGCGGCCCAGCCAAATCGCCTAGATCCCTGTCGAAGTTGACGGCAATCCAAGTCCTCGCCGTCGTTGCACCTCGCACGCCGGCCTCAGCCCAAGTAGTCCACGTCGCAAGTGCACTCTCCCATCTCAATCGCTGCGCTGAACCCCTGCTCTTCACTTCAACAAGTTCTGTCCCGTCTCGCTCGATGTAAGCTTAACTTTCGGTTGTTGTCCCCAATCGTCTTTCGTCTGCGGCGTAACCCGGCGCCTTCCGTGTCCCGCGGCGCCACCTATAGCTCAGTGCGCTACCTTTCATACCGTGATCCCGGGCGTTTCGGCTCTGGTCCCCCCTTTCGGCCCATAGTCTCCGCTTTCGCTATGTTTTCGACTCCGACCATCTCTGCCGACTCGAAATCCAAATCCCAAGCTGGAACTCCCGCCCGGCTGCCGACTATCGGCGCGAAGCGCCGTCCATCCCGCCTCACGATCAGAACGGGCGCTGCCTCCTGATGCTGGTATCGTC